AAATGGCTGCGCCACACTAGCCCCGAGTGCATCGGAGGTGTATGTGCTGCAGGGCTCTAGAACACCACGGAGGTGTCGTGCTGGTGCAGGTCGGTCGCGAGCAGCAAGGGGCCAGGAGCACCACAGCCCATCTCCCGGCTGACTCTCTAAGCCCACCTCCCACCTCTCAGTTTGCATTGCACAGGGTTACCCAAGCCAGGGGAACTGACCCCTCTCTGGTCGCTCAGCATCCACACCAGAGCATCCTTCCTGGGCTAAACAAATCTGGAAGGATGAAAGAAACCCTTCTCTGTGAAACAGCACTGTGTTTTTCATAGAATCACAGAATGGTTTGGGGTAAAAGGGACCTCAAAGCTCCTCCAGTTCCAACCCCCTGCCACAGGCAGGGACACCTCCCACTAGACCAGGTTGCTCCAAGCCCCGTCCTCCCTGGCCTTGAACACTGCCAGGGATGGGGCACCCACAGCTTCTCTGGGCACCCTGTGTCAGCACCTCAGCACCCTCACAGGGAAGAGCTTCTGCCTAAGAGCTCATCTCAATCTCCCCTCTGGCAGGTTAAAGCCATTCTCCCTTGTCCTGTCCCTTCAGGCCCTTGTCCAAAGCCCCTCTCCACGTTTCCTGCAGCCCCTTTAGTAACTGGAGGTGACTGAGTCACTAAGGTCTCCCCTTAAGAAGCCTTCTCTTCTCCAGGCTGAACAAACCCAGCTCTCTCAGCCTGGCTCCAGAGCAGAGCTGCTCCAGCCCTTGAAGCATCTCTGTGGCCTCCTTTGGACTTGCTCCAACAGCTCTACATCACTCTTTTTAGTCCAAAGTCACCCCCCTCTAGAAGTCTGCTGGGTCTCCGTAATTCCTAGCCATGTTCTAAGTATCTAGACGGACTGTAGTGATAGGACAAGGGGTGATGGGCTCAAACCAAAACAAGGGATGCTCAGGTTAGATACAAGGAGGAAGTCCATTACTGTGAAGGCAGTGAAGCCCTGGCACAGGTTGCCCAAAAAAGTGGTAAATGCTCCATCCCTGGCCAGGTTGGACAGAGCCTTGGATGATGTGGTCTAGTGGAAGGTGTCCCTGCCCATGGCAGGGGGTTGGAACTGGATAGTCTTAAGGTCCTTTCCAACCCAAACCCAAACCATTCTATGGTTCTATGATAGCCAGATTGAGTAGGTTTGGGGCACTAATCTGATAGCTGGGCAGGTGGCTTCTCTATAAAACTCAAAGTTCTCTCTGATCTTTCATTTTCAGTTCTGCTGTCAATTACTGTTGTTATTTTGTTGGAGATCCTGTAGCTTTTTATGCAAAGAGGATGTTAGGAATTCATCTGCCTCCACTTTGTTTCTTGTTTTGTAGTTTTCCAATAAAACGGGAGAGATAAAAGCCCAGCACAGCGTAAAAAATTCAGCAAAGCTCATTGATTGGAATAACCACGACTCAAAGCAATGGGTGTCACGCTCTGACCTATAAACCATAACCTTTTGTTTACAGGATTAGACAGCAGGTATGGGGAAAACACATTTGAAGTCTGAGCACACAAACTGCAAAATAATTAAGGCCCTTCTTCAAACACTGCATAATACATTTCTCTATCAGCTCCTGCTACAGAACACAGGAAAACAGCATTCATCTCTAGACAAAACACATGGCACCTTGTATCAGCTCAGTCCAGTCAACACCGAAGCATCTAACACTAACCCATAGAAATAGGGCCATGAGCACAGCAGGTCCTTCACCCTCTGTGCAGAGCTCCACAGCCTCCTTGTCAGGTAAAATCAAAGCACCCAAAACAGAGCTCTGCACTGGTGCTGCCCCAGTGCCACAGGACCAGTATCCCCTGCAGGAGCTGCCATCCCTCCACCATCACACCAACCCTCTGCTTCAAATGTGCTGGGTATAGTCCAGAGCCAGATCCTTCCTGAAAGGACCTGCCCAGCTCCAGGGTGAGTCAGCACATACAGTGGAGGAGGCACGAGAGGGACAGAAGCCAGGAGGAGGAGAGAAGAAGGGTGAAACAATGGCTTTGAAGAAAAGATGCCAAGAGAAGATGGGGTGGGGAGAGGTGGTGACAGGGTACAGATGTATGTAATGGAGAGGAGAGGAGGTGCTGGCAGAGCAACCTGTTCCCATGGCTAGCTCTGGGAAGAAGACCCACACTCAACCTGAGCCACAGTCACATCAGCCAGCAAGGCGGTAGGGCCTGCTAGCAGTGAGTTGAAGATGGATAGGAAAGATGCTGTCACGGCCATGACAGAAACCAGTTGGCCACTCATCTGGAGTGGGACAGAAGCAAGGATATCCAGAGCTAGAAAGAGGATTAGTAACAACAACAATCCCAAAGCCTGGGGAGAAACACGATGGCCCTGCACAAGCTGCTGAGAACCACCGTGAGCCCTTGCCACTCCTGCCTGCTGCAACATTACCCATGTACCCCGACAGCCCCAAAACAACTGCGAGGTGCTGATGAGGCTTGGGAATGTGGGTCTCATGTTCCTTCACATGAGCCATAAACCTACCACATCCTGGCCTTTTCCCTAAACTCCCCCATGCTCTGCCAAAGGACAGCAGGGAAAGCTCCCATCAGCTTCCGTGCTGGGACTCAGAGCAGAGGGCACGGCCGGAGCCCCGCTGTGCCAGTGTGCCCTGTGATGGAGCTGCCCTGGAATGGAACTGCTCCTGCCCTGGCTGCCAGGAGGAGGGGTCAGGGTTGCAACACCTGGGTAGATGCTGCCAGCCACATTTCATAGGCTGATGGGGGAAACACCTCCTGGCAGCCGAGGTGGGGAGAAGGGGTGTGTGCAGAGGGTGTGTGCAGGACAAACCCCACAACAAAGAGGTCCTGTGCCTGTACAGCCTAACCAAGGATGATTTCCAAAGAAAAGGAAAAGCAAGCCTGTTGGTAGACAAAATGCAGCAAAATCCTTTATCCCAAGTGAACTTTAAAAACACACACTCTGAAACACAGACGAGGGGCACGTTAAAATGACAGAGACACCAAAGCACCAGTGTCAGCAGAGAAGGAAGGGGTGTTCACAGTCAGCACCGGTGGGCTGTGCGTGCCTGACCCCTTACCTGCAAGCCTGTCATCCTTCTCCTGGTCCTCCTCTTCTTGGAGCAGACACAAACCCAAGCAGCTATCTGGTCAAGTTGGCTGCCAAAGCTTCCAGCTGGTGAAGTGAGACGGGCCAGTGGCAGGCTGACAGTGCTGGAAGTGAAAGTCCAAGGGAGTTTTTAAGCTGTTTGCTCAGCCCAGTCTGTGTTTAACCAAACGCCAGCCCTACTCCACAGAAACAACCCCAGGGTCGATTTGAAGATAATAAACAGGGGGAGAGGGGTACAGGGCTCCCTCACAGCTCCTTTTCCTCTTTAGATGGGGTTGTAGTTCTCACACATGGTGGGGGGGGAGGGAATAACAAGCTGTTTAAGAACAAAGAAAATCCATTTTTTGCAACTGTTTTATAAGCTTCCTTCATAAATTATACCTCTCTCCCTGTTTATGATAACCTCCTTAAAGGGTTCTCATACACAGCCCTCTGAAGGTGTAACAAATGGGGGTTTCCATTATGCTTCTGTGCCATGTTACATTGGGGAATAGAAAGGATCCCAGTCCCATCCTGGTGGAGGTAGTGATATTTGTGAGCTACTGTGGCAATATTAAACAGCATTTTGAAGCCCAAAGTAGGGGAGGATTTTGTATTCCTGTGATTGGAGGTAGTGAAGGGGGGCTTTATAGATGCTGAAATACTCATATTTTTCCAGGAAGCTGTTGCTGAGGAAGGAGCAGCAGCATTTACCCACGGAATACAAATGAAAGTAGCTCTGCCTTTCCAGAAGGCGCAGGGGAAAAGATCAATTGATTTGATGTTTTCACTTTGAATTCTCATCTCCACCCCCCCCACCCCCCCCCAAAAAAAAAGCAGCAGTATTTTTCCCTGTTTCTGTAACCTGCTCTACTGTAAGCCCTGCTCTAGGAGGCACACAGAGGAGATTCCAACATGACCCTGGAGTTAATGCCTCCTGCTCTCCTAGAGCATCCTGGAAGCCTTCCCTCCCCACAGCAGTTACCAGCTTGCGTGGCTCCACCAGAGCCAGCGAGAGCTTGGGCTGTGAGAGGGACAGGTCTTAATGGTTTTGTCTTCTCTAAAAGCTGGCACCTCCCCACATCACCCTGAGCAATGTGATAGAGCCACCAAGAGCTGCCACCTTTTAAGGTCTGGCAAAATAGGTTGGCTGCTGCAAGGGAGGAGATGGGGTGTATGGAGAGACATTGGTTATGGAGACGGGGAGCAAGAGCTAGCTTTCCTTGCATGTCCCCTCTGGTCTTAGGATCACAGGGTCAAAAGATAATTCACATCAGAAAGTACTTCAGAAGGGCACTAGCCCAACTTTCAGCTTAAAGCAGGGTCAGCTCTGAGGTCAGACCAGGCTGCTCAGAATTGTATCTAACCTGTTCTTACAAACTTCCAAGGATGGAGACAGAATGGCCTCACTGGACAGCTGGATCCACTGTTTGATTGCCCTCACGGTTGAAAAGCTTTTCCTTACATAGAGCTTGAGCTTCCCTAGTTTCAGCTGATGGCAGTTGTCTCTCATCCTCCTACCAAGCACTGCTCTGAAGAGCCACGCTTCATCTACTTGGCAACCTCTCCAGAGTTATTGGAAGGTGCTGCCTGGTTCCCCCAAAGCCGTCTCTTCCCAGGCTGAATCAAGCCCCGTCCCTCACAGAACTGTGAGCTCCAGCCCCAGGCCAGCATGGTGGGCCACTGCTGCAGTTGATCCTGTTGGATCAGTTTCCTATGTTTGGAGCCCCCAGACCAGACATAGGATCTCCATTTCCCATCCAATGCTTGTCTTCCTAGAGCAGGAGCACCAGAGCCCTAGCAGGCCACACCACCTCCCCTGCTTCTGCATTTCTTTGTCTGCTTATCTACACTGCTGTTTTGAGCCAGTTCTGTCATCATTTTTGCACACAGTTTTGCTCATAGCAAACACTGAGCAAATGTCAACAAAGCAAGCAGAGATACAGCCCTGGAGACACAGTGAGCCAGAGCATTACTCAGAAATGGAGACAGCTGCAGCTGAAGACTTGGCTGGAAAGTAGCAAGACTTACTGGTGACAGGGGCTGGAGTTGGTGCCTCACAATCAACTACTAAGAGTGTTGTGGAGAGAAGACCTAAAGTAAGTCCTGTCCTTTCCTAACCTCTGCTGGGACTTTCTGCCTGCTTGAGAGCCACCTTGACTCTCTCAGCTCAGGGACAGTACAGGGGCTGAGCTGGGCTCTTCTGTTTTCATGACGCTAATGGTTTTATTGCACAGTCACCAGGAACAGACTCAGTTAACCTGGCTGTACAATATTGGGTAATGTTTGCTCTGAAACAGAGAATATTTAGCTCCATTGCAATGTGGGTGGGCTGAGGATAAGGATAACTGGGAATTTCCATCGGTTTATTACAGCAGTATCTGAAAGTTCTGAACCACAGACCTGGACCCCCTTAGGTGAGGCGCTAGAAGAACATAGGCTGGGTAATCTCCAAGTTAAAAGTCTTTAGGTGTCCCTTATTTTCCCATTTGCCCAGGAAGGCTCTCTCTATACCGTGGCCTCTTTCAGCTTTGCCATAAAAAAACCCCACATAGGCAGTGAGGGATTCTCCAGCTCAAGGCAGAGGATGCAAGTATCGTTTGTCATTGCCAAAGAAATAGAGTACCTGGCACCTGCCACCTACCCTTGAAACTCCTTCCCTACCAGACAATACTTCAGAGTAAAGAGTTCATCTCGCTTATTTTTTGACAGTGAGGATTTATAGGCTTGAATCCAGTTTTGCAAACCACAAATGTGAAAAGTTGTGTATTCTCTAGCTGTGCAGATGATCAAAACACAACCGGACATGGTGCTGGGCAGCCTGCTCCAGCTGACCCTGCTTGGGGAGTTGGACTATGTGATCTCTAGAGTCACTTCTAACCTCAGTGGTTCTGTGATTTAGCTTAAACAAGCTCTTTATAGTTAGTGGCAGCAGCTCTTAAATATAGATCTCCTGAAACATTAAGTATAGATGTACTTCATTAATATTTTAGCAACAGCCTTTGTTATCAGATAAATATGACTCAGAAACACAATGAATTGTTATCACATAAACATGATTCATAAACACAATGAATTAAGCATGGAAGAATGAGCATTAGAAGTGCTCGGTGTCTTCTCAGCTACCTTTCTGGATTTATGACATCTGTCTAGTGCATGCTGTGCATAGCCTTTACTCCAAGGAGATTCCAGCTGAAATACATAACAAGGCCCAAAAGACAGATAAAAAAGCGTTAGCCATCAACGCAACAGTATTTGCTACCACATGACGTATATGCTACTGTATGGTACCTGCATACCAGCAGCTTATTAGACGTGAACTGTTCTCTTAGGCATCATGATGGAGAGGTGCAAGGAGCTCATCTAAGTCAGAGGCACAGTAAGAGAAAGTACCAAGGGGCTTGCTTGAAAGTTTAACAGCTGGTGTTCAACATCTCAGGGGTGAATGAAAGATGAGGAGGGGAATGGAAAAAGCCTTTCAGATAGAAGATGATTTAACTTGTATTTGATCCAGTAGACAGAGACTCAAAATTCACAGCATGTGCATTAAGAAGCCTTTTGTTTCCTGCTGTATCATTTGCAAGTTCAGGTAGTGAATTTTCACTGGGAGAAAAAGGAAGGAGAGTCATGGGACAGCAAGTCCCTTTGCTTCCCTATGTTCTCCATTAGCATTTTCCTATGCAATGTGTATTTCATGCCACGTGGCAGAGACAAGACTGTAGTTTCTTCCCTGTCCCTATTTGGTATAGACTTTCCAGAGCAGGGCTGACACCTTCATAAATTTCTACTCAATGCTCAGAGCAGTGCTTCCCAGCATGGACTGCAGTGTGCCAGTGCTGCTATGATGAGTACAATCACTGGATCACAGCTCACCACCATTTCTCGTAGTGAGTGGCTGGCCAGTTCCAAAAGTAAAGCTCCTGCACCCTGGGAACAATGCATGCAAGAAGCAACCGAGACAGATCCTTTCCGATGTGGCTGTGGACCCACTGTTGCAATGGCCCATTCCTTTTCACAAGGATGGACAGCAAAGGACCAACCTCTGCTCCTGCCTATGTTCATACAGCTAGAATGCATTAATATATTTACATATTTATTAATATATTCATTCAGACCTGTCTCCATAATCTTAGCTTCCTCAACTTGCATTTCTTCTCTTTTTTAACCCTTTACACACTTCCAAACAGGCCAGGAGCTCTCTAGAGCAGCTGTCTGTTGATCTGTTAGTGTACTACTAACAGATCAGGGGATTTAATCTCGTAAGATGAGAAAATAAAGCAATAATATTTATACTTTTTTATCACTGCTGACAGCTTTGTGGCAAAAAAAAATAAGGTATCTTTTAAATAACATCTACTTTCTTGCAGAATGGCTCTTATGAAATATGTCTGTGTCATTTTTCTGGGAGCATTCCGCAGCAGATGCCAGACAGGTTAATTATTAGCATTTATTTGTGCAGGAAAGATTATAAGAGTTCCCTGCAGCAGAGAGCACATACTCCTTGTCACCAAAAAGCAGATGCTGCATGAACAGAGGCTAGAGAAGCCATCTGTGTACCTTGCTGTGATGCTTCTGCCTTCAGGCTAGAAGAACCACTTCTAGGAGTGAGAAGATTTAGTCACCTTGCCCTATTGTGTCCTTCCCCACCTGATGCAGCAGCTAAAGAGGATGCTAATTTTGCACAAGCCTTGAATTTCATCATCTGACCTTTTATTTAGCAAGGGCAGGACAGCCCATCACGCCCACAGCCAAACAAGCCTCAGGAAGAGAGGCTGACATCAGACAGCAAGATAAAACCCCTGACTGCAGCCCTAGCCTTCAAAGCTATTTGGCCCCTTTGCCCTTTAATAAATCTTTAACCCAAATCTAGCAATGGATTTTCACTTTGTAAACGTTAACTTTCGGGTCAAAGGGAACAGAGATGTGCAGGGGTTAACGATGCACTTCATGTTCCTCCTAGTCAAAAACAAAGACTGAACTTCGACTTAGATCGCCCACTCAGCCTGGGCTTTCATTTGGTTGCTCCAGGCAAGAAAGGGCATGTGATTTTATTTATGAGCTTGTCTTACACTCGACATCTTCTTGAGAGAAGTCCATGGTAGTGCACCAAAAAGGAATTTCCCTGTACAATTTCAGGAGGTATCGAGCCAGAGCTTCTGTGCACTGATAACCCCACGGGGCACAACAAGCTTTATCTCAGTGATAGAATGCCAAAGCAGGAAAAAGAAAACACATTTCTAGCCTTAATAGTATTTGCAGCAGGGGTTGGCTAAGCAGCTGAACTGCCAAAGGTAGAGTTCACTATCTCTTTGGTGCCACAGACAGCTCTGATCATCTAAACCAACTTCCTTACAAACATGCTGGGGGACTTTTCCTCAAAGCTGTGCTAAAGCATGCCTTTCAGAAAGCTACTCATTCTACCCTGAAAAATCCCAAAGGATGGCAAATCTGCTTTTTTCTATTAACTGTTTTGGGTGTCATCACTCCCACTGTTAGAGAACTACAACAAACTTCAAGATCCATTTAGATTCAGGTCCTGAGACTCAACAGTTTATTGCAAGTTTGCCTACACAGCTGGAAAGCCCTAACTCACATACTGACAGTTAGTGATGGAAGACTTCTTAACTTCTTCAGAGGGTTCACATGTACCAGAAAGAAACCTATTTTCCCCATTTCCTGATCAGATGTTAGAATAAACCCACAGCAGCACAAGTTGATAATACTAATACTTTTCGGTACATGTCAGGCCCCCGCTAGGCAGGAGAGCTTTGCCACTGAATGGACATTAAGGAACCCAAAAGTAGCGTCCCTCTGAGGACCTAACACCCTGTGCTGCAGCAAAGCACACCCTAAGGAAAGCTCTTCCTCTGAGCACTTTCTGGTTACTTGCCAGCCAGTGACAGGTTCATCAATAATGATAATGGCTTTTTGTCAAAGAAAACCAGTGCACTAAGCCACAGACTTGCTCAGTCCTATAAAGGAATCAAAGTAACCAGCATCCTCGTAAGAAAAGTGAGACAGGAACATGACTTCTAATGGGAAGAGCTGACTAACAAAAGAAATAGAAGGATTAAGCTCCCTTTGCTGAAAAGCAGAGGCAGGTATTCAACCAGTGAAGTCCATCACCTCCTTATCAATTGTGATAGCCCCAACTTCGCTCTACTTCACTGAAAAAATCTATTGGCTGCAGGTGATGACACAGCAGCTCAGATCTCATTTGTGACAAATGGAGCATACTGCAGCTGCCTCTGCAAATACTATCAATAATGAAAATTTGTATTAAGGTTGCACCCAAACCCCAGTATCCTGGGTAGGTTTCACATGCTTAAAGCCAGCGGCAGCTTTGCTGAAGACTGTTGGCAAGGAGAGAGAAAACCTGTTGCTACAAGAACAAAAACATATACACAAGAATTCAGGTACACCTAGGTTTCCTACTTTTCTGCATGGGAATCAAAAGGGGCAGATTTGGGGGATTTTCCCTATTCAGTACATATTCACACTTCTGATTATCCTCTCAGTCATTAAACCAGTTATAAATCAACCAGAAAGCTCTGCTGAGCCCCTTGGGAAGAGGGCTTATTTGCTATACATTTCACCTATGTGTACATGGGAAGTCTAACACATCTCAGATGTACCTGTATGAGCCATCTTCACTGACACATCTGGTACATGTATTTCCCAGGCATATATTTCTGCCTGGAAAATAACACAGAGGGACTGATTAGCTCCAGTTTAAAGGAACTAGGTAAAAGTGCTTTGATGTGAAATGCATATGCCTGTGACAGACACCAGAGAGACAGACAGGAGAAGGGATGTAGGAAAACAGAGACAGGCAGAGAAAGGCAAAGAGAGAGATAGAGAAATCAAGTGATACAGCAAGAGAGAAGGGCAGCAGAAAGAAACAAAGAGAAAAAAAGAGAAGAAAGGGCAAAGCAGAGGATGGAGCAGGGGGTACAAAGAGAGGGGTCTTTGTGAGCACAGGTGACAAAGAAGGGTCAGACAGGTGGGACATGGGAAGTGGGAAAAGAAAGAAGGATAAACTTGGGGGAAAGGGAGCTGGAGGAACAGGGAATGAGGGTATGGTTGGACAGAGGCAAGACACAGGGTCATGGGGGGCAGGAGGCCACAGAGAATATAAATTGAAACACACAGAAGGAGGAGCAAAGTGTGACACATGGAAATTGTCTGGTGTAACAGCCCAGGCATGGAGATGAACCTCTTTTGGGCAGCTGAAACAGGTAAGGTGCAAACAGCAATCCAACTAACTCTGGCTGCTCAAGCACTCCTGATTCTGACAAGAAGCTAGCGCTTCCTTTCAAAATACATGTAACATCAAGAACATACATGACTCCCATTACACATCACCTTGTCCTAAAAGGAAAATTATACCCAATTGTGCTTACTTGATGAGATTTGAACAAATAAAGAACTTAACCTGGACCGGAGACCTATTTGTATTAAAGTAGCAAAGATGCTGGATTCATGACACTACATTAACACAGGTGTAAGACAACCACTGCACTCAAGCCTGTGATCCAAAAACCGGAAAGGGTTTGGCTGGACAATGAATGTTGGCAAGATCAACACAGCTTTTGTTTTTTTTTTAAGTGACATTTTAAAACTGATCTTTGGACATTTTAAGACAGAAGTAAAGCAGAAGCATGGAAGGGATGAGGCAGTGAGTAAGGGTAAAGGCAATAAAAACAGGGATGGTCACTCTACATTACTTAGTGGACCCTGACATTTGATACACACCACAGCAGAGGTAAGACATCTTGCTCTGCACACAACAACAATAAGGGTACAACCAAGTTATGGTGCTAAACTGGTGGCGCTTGTGTATGGAGCAACCACCTCTGATTAAAACTGAGAGAAAGATGCTCCTAATCCCACACTACACCTACTCAGCAGGCTAATGGTGCCTTCAACAACGTCTGCCATTCCCGTGGTTGGTCTAATTTGTAATTATCAGTCCATTCTGCCTCTGCATTACACTTAGGAAAATAGAACTGTGCCAAGCAAATGCCAAGCTTTCAAGAAAGCTGCAGTGTGTGTCAGCCACACAAATATAAACCCCACAAAGCAGGTATAGTGCAATTACACAAACCCCAAGCATGGGAAGCCCATGCAACTTCAGGATCGTATTTAAACCTGATTTGAATATGCTAATATCCTTAACTTGGCCCCGATGAAATATCAGAAGAAAAGTAGGTAAAAACACATGAAAAAAACCCACAGAAGTGTTTTACAAAGCAATCTGCTCCAATCTGAGACCACAAATGCTGGAACACTGCAATTATAGCGAGATGGGTATGCAATCATTTTTCAGGACTATTGATGGCGACAGCACAGAAATTTAACCTCTACCCTTTAGAATAGTAACAAAAAGACAGCTGTATAAAGGATTTGAGAGCATTAATACTATTTCAGTTAAATGATCTGTTTATAGAATCATAGAATGGTTAGGGTTGGAAAGGACCTTAAGATCATCCAGTTCCAACCCCCCTGCCCTGGACAGGGACACCTCCCACTAAACCATGGCAGGACCAAGTTAAGGGTGGTGATATCAGAGTAAATACTGTGACAACACAAACATCTTGCAACAACTCTGGTTCTCATTGCCTTCAAGTTAAACATCCAGACTAAAATAAAAAAGGGTGAACCCTTTAACTCCTCATGTACTGAAACCACAATCTGATAAGCAGATGCATCAGAGCCGTGCCTCCAGGCAAGCCGCCTTCATTTTGCAGGTAGAACAGTGAGACTGATCATGAAGTAAGCCACTTGTCAAACCACACACATCAGTTCAAGAGTGGATGAAGGCACCCTATGAGGAGTTTTTATGGCTCACAGCTGGACAAGGGGGGCCAAGCAGACTTGACTGAGTCTAGAGAAGCCACAGCCTCAACCACACCTCTCCCCCAGTCTGCTAACCTTCTACCACTCACATGCTCTACTTCTCCTCAGTGCTACTCCCTTTATCTTATCTGGCTCCTACCACAACAGTATCTCTAATTTGCTTCTAGATCCTGATTGTCATTACCTTCAGCCCCACTGATGCACAGGACTTGTGCATCCTCTCCTCTTCCTGGAGCATGAATTGACCTTCACAAGATTTCTCATACAAAGACTTTGTTTCTTCTTTATTGAGCCTGAGGATTGAAATACACAAATACATGTAAGCTGCAAGTAGGGCTTAGGCCACCCTACATCATATGCTGAGCAATGTTCTTTTTGTGATTAACTGAAGAGGGCTACTTTGGAAAGACCTGTGCAATTGTTCCTTCATGCAGCATCTTAAACTTAATGGCCTCCTTTACTCTGCAATACTTCCCATTCTCCTAAAGATAGAGGGGGTGAAGGAAGAAATAGCCCTAGCTTGCTTGTCCTGCTCTGCAGTTCCTTAGTAACCTGAGGGAGCCCAGATCTTTTTACCCTAAGGCAGCACCTAACCTTGAGAAAATAATTCCAGCTAAGAGCAAAGAGACATTGGTGCTGTCACAAGCTGCACAGCTCAGACACTGGTTATCTGCTAGGAATATTTTGGTACCTTATTTTCCCTGGTTGTAAACTAAATATAAACTAGTAACAGATTTCATATAGGCATCTAAAACTTACTGCACTCATGGTCGCAAATGCTCCAAATGCACCTTTCTGGAAATGGCCTAAGGAGAAGCAAAGTATCCATATTTTAGTAAGTTTGACTGGTGCACCTAGCTGTCATTTTTGTTCTTGATTAGTGGCAACAGGCAGTTTGCCATTTATTTCTAAGCAGCTGCTAGAGAAGAGCTGCAGGCGGATGTAATCTGGAAACTGCAGACTCTGCTCCCTGTCAATTTCACACCAACTTTCTTCAATTCCCATT